CCCCCCCCTTACCAGAAGATACTCCAGTCTTCCAAAAATCTTCATAATGCCCCTGTTGTGGCGTTTGGCTGGGCTCACTGAGCATACAAGCAATCACGCTCCAAACGGGTAATTCTGCATGGCATTACTAGCCAAGAAGGGTGTTTTCTGCTGCGTGCTAAAAATCTCTCTTATGCTGCTGTTTTTCCCTTGCTCGAAGGCTGGCCCGCTGGGTCCTGTCAGAGCAAGAGACGCTGGGAGAGTGAACCCAAGCACAGAGCTGGCTTGCGGACCACCTGCCCGTCCCCCCTCGGTCCTCCCCTCGAGGGCCCACGGCTTTCCTTTCAGAATCAATCGGCTTAGTGCATGAGCTCATTATCATACAGCTGTCGCCTCTGGATGGAAGTGGGGAGAGCAGCAAAGGCAGGGAGAGGGCAGAGCCTAAACGACAAAAATAAATAAATCTCACCCAAGCCCGCCCCCAAAGAACTTTGACCCTGAGGACTCCTAAGGCCGACCACTTCCTACCGAGGTTGCTCACTAGCCCCCCTCCACCACAACTCCTCTGCGGGATGCCTCCTGCCGTGATGGGTCTTCTCTCCCTGCTCCACCCCAATTTCTGTCCTGCTCAGTTGGATGCTGTGCAACAGGGCCATATGGCCAGCCCGTTTTAATCGATTTTTTTTTCAAGCCTTCTCTTAAATCAACGTGACAAGCCCAGTCCTGGTGTCCTCGCCTTCCTTTTCTCTCTGTTCCCGTGCTTTCACATGCCGGGCAGGTCTCCAACTCCCCTGAAAACCTGGCGGGGTGGGGTGGGGATTCTGCTTGCCTCAAATTGCACCTCTCTTTAAGCAATTTGCCATGGCTTGGAGGCGGGGGGGGGGGGGGTTTCTGTTTCCCAATATTTGCACCTCGCTTTAGGCAGTTGGCGGGGGGGTGGGGGGGGGGGGGGGGCGACAGAATCTCCTTCTGGTCAATGCTGGGATTTTTTAATGGCTTGCCATATCTGCACCTTTATGAGGCTATATTGACAGCTTTGTCGGATCCAGTGAATTGTTCTATTACCTGCAACAGCTAAATAGAGCCTCCACATTCCGAGGCAGTGTATACCAGAATGCTACCTGGTAGACAAACAAAAGGCATCACAAATACCTCCAGTTCTCATGCTCTCATGTTTCTTCCTCATTTTTACCTTACCTAGAAGTTATTACTTTATCTCATGACAATCATTTATGTGTCATATCCTGCCCTTTCTCAGAACTCAGGACAGGTTACCTAGCAATGTTTCCCCACCACCACAAGCCTGTAAAGTAGGTTAGACTGAGAGACATTGGTTGTGCTCACCCAGTCAGCTGAACCTGCTTACTAAATTTATCCATTTTCTGAGCTCCCAAAACACACTAAACCACAAACAGACCACACAATGCTAACCAAAAACAACAACAAATACTGCTACTCCAGGTTAACATGATGCAAAAGCTGCTGCATTGTCTTTGAATGATCTGATTAAGTTGTTTGAACTGGTCCAGAGTCATCCAATGAACTTCCACCAAGGTGGGCACCATTAGGGGCAGATCTCTCCAGAAGGAAAAGCAAATTACAGCCTCATTCAAAGGAGATATGCCCTCTTTCTGCCAAAAAACAATCTCCCATTCCTTGCCCTCCCCATCTAAGAACATGGGGGGAAAAATGCTCTCATGGATTCTCTTTTACATTGGGACTAGCCCACCCCAAACCTTTACCCCTGGGTTTTCTATTTGGCTCAGCTTTTAATGCTCAGGATGTATCATGTGTCACACAAGGAAGCCTTAAAGTAAACTACAAAAGTGCCCCAGTTTTTCTTGCTTCGCAAAGCCAAACACACATAGGAACGGCAGTCCCATTCCTGAATCTTGGCAGCCTTCTCTCCCCTCTAAATTTGCATCTTTAGCCATTACAAAATATGACTATGAGGCAAATAAGCAGATACCCTCGTCAAGAGTCCACTGGAGTTGGGCAGCCAATACATATAAATAAATAATAAGAGTGACACAAAGCGGTTCAGAGGATCGAATTTAAATCCAAGCCGTGAAAGGCTGTTGACACAGAAGGGATATTCCCTACTTGTGCCGAGAACGGATCTAGCAACAAGGGAGTTTAAGAGAAATGATCCTGCATACGCTCAAACATTTGTGCCAGCCAGACCAAAGAACCCTGAACTCTAATCCAAACCAGCGTCTGAATGAAGTCAGAACAGACGACAGAGGCATTTCAATAATCTGAAATAAATTCTATAAGCCACACCAAGAGGGAACACTTAACCTGGTACTCACCTGTAAAAGAGTCTGGATGGGTGTGCCGGACATTGAAGAGGAGTGAAGAAAAAGGAAAGAAAATAAACAGTGTTATTGGAAACTGCACATCTGTAAAAACCTCAAGGATGCCAGGTAGAAGGTTTAGGCCATGACAAGGGCCACAAGTGAGGAAAGGAAGAAGTAATAGAGAGCAACACAGCATCTCTCTCTCTATAAAATGCACAAATTGTTTTGCCAAATGTCTTTTTCCACCAGTGCCATTCTGCATGGTGGGATTTCAATTCTGCCACCACAGATTGGCTGGTGGTCTATTCTCCTCCCAACCCTACATCCACCATCCCTCCCTGGCAATATCACATTAATACTGGAGACAGGAAGGAGGATTCAGTGGGCATTTCTTGTGTTCCAGCTTAGGCTTAAATAAGCATGCAAGTTATGTTCGGTTAGCTGTGATGTTTGGAGAGGTTACGTTGTCTGGGTTTGAGGAAAACGTCCCCCAGCAATGAGAAAAGATGATATGGCCAATTCATTCCCCTGATTCTTCCCTCCTCTTCTCTTGAAGATCCATGAAACTGAATCTAGGGCTGCCATCTGATGCAGCCCTATGGCAAGGCCCAACCCTGTGGGCCAAGAGAAAGGAAAACCACAGGACTTCAGCCCTTGCTCATCTGCTGGCTGATAAAGCAGGATGGGCCAGGAGAAGTGGAGGAGAAGCCCACTGGGCAGATGTGTGAGATGAAGGTAAGAGAACATTTTTGCTTCTCCACATTTGGTGGGAATCTGTTGGAAAGTCACTCATTTCCCCTCCAAGCTAAAGAAGTTGTATAGGGGCTTTATATACAACCCACAGAATCCACTGGATAGTGCTGTACTGGAAGTATACAGCAGCGGCATTTTTGTTAACATGCATCTTGCGTGAAAACTTCCTGCTGAATCAAGTTTTTTTTTTAAAAAAAAGCTTTAGAATTAGTCTTGTGCTTAACTTAATTATATGGTAGAGGCATATAATTCCCTACATTTTAATTTTTTTATAGACAGGAGAATCAATGAATAATATAGATTTTCACCTAAACTGGACCGTTCTTATAAGTTGGGACAACGAAGGAAGTTGATTTTTCCCTGGTGCAGTTAACAGAAACTTGAAGCCAACCCTTGTTTGAAACGGGATTCTAGTCTAGAGAGAACTTCTAATCCAGTAGAGAAAGCAAGCACCTTTTCACACATAAGCATGATCCAATGTATCTAACCAGATGCCTGGGTCTGAGAAGAGAGGAGTAACAGAGATTTCATGTCATGCTTGAGTGAATTTCCTTGAGGCACTGGGCTGAGGATTCTTGAAAGCAGGATGCTGCTGCTCTGCTTGTGTGACTTCAGGATTCAGACTCACCCGTTGCTGAATAAGAGCGTGTTTATGCTCCATTTCCCTCTTCTCCACAGCCGAGTCGATCACCAACTGGTCCAGCTTCAAGGATGAATGAGAAGAAACATAGGAGAGAAGTCACAGGGTTATTTTCCGTTCTCTCAATTTCTCTCTCTAGGCCAGACAACACTATCAGTTTATCAACGGCCACATGAGTTAGGTTGGGGTCCAGGTGGTGGGTGGGGCTAAAAGCCAAGTAGGTGGGGCTAGGCCAAAAGCATACCCATTCTCTCTCTCTCACTCTCAGGCTGTAGGGAAAGAACAGAGTTCAAACCAGTATCTGGGGTGGTCTTTTGAAAGCAGGGCAAGAGCCACAGGTTGCCTACTTTATTTTAGGCACCTCTGTGTCACAAACCATCCGTCTGTCAGAAAGTAAGGTTCTAGACCTCGTGATTCAGAACAAAGGGATGATTCGAAGAAAAACGCCAACCAACTTAACTCAATATTGATGGCTGACTGGATTTTTATCTAACTCTACTGAAAGATGCTTCTCTTTAATTAAACTACATCAGGAACCAAGTAGGTGAATGGGAACAGGTTTAGCTGCCCTTTGCCAGCCTCTTTGGGTGACCCCAAAGACCACAATCCAGAAATCATACTGGCAGTTGCCAAGGGAGAGCTACCAGCTGAAGATGAGCACATGAGACCAGGCAATCCTACTCAAGATTTCTCAAGAGGGTTCTCCTCTTGAGCTTAGGTGAGGAACATGAGCCAGGAAGGTCCAGAGCTGAAGGTCCCAAGCTCAACAGCCAATGAACAAAGAGCTGAGCCATGAAACTCTGTGGACAAGGCATTCAGAGAGTCCCCTGGTGTTCTTTCCTTCCACTACTCCCTTTCTTTTGGTATTTGTTTCCTTCACTTTTCTCCTAGCTTTGACAAACTTCTATTCCTCTGCATCTCCTTTCCCCGGTTTTGGTTTTCTTCTATTCCACCCCACTCCCAAAAAGACTCAATTACTTCCTCACCTCAGTAGCCAGTTTCTTCATATAAGGATCCAATTCATGGAGGAGACTGTAACCTTGCTGGAAAAATGTGTATTGGGCGTGCATAAAGGAGAGCATCTGGAAGGAAGACATGAAGTTCACACATGACCCACTACATCCTCCTACGTGACACCTGTGGCAGTTTGGGGCCGGTGGTACAGAACGTAAAACCTGTATTTGGGTCCTTCTGTGTACGTGAAAGAAATGAAGATGCCTCTTCCAAGATGGACTAAAAGAGGCATTCCCTTCTCTGCATTTCTCTCAAAATGGTGCTGAAAGAAGATCTCCCTCCAGGACACGAAGACCTTGTCAAAGAAAAGGCAACCCAAGCCATTCCGTGCTGCATGTGTGGGAGAAATTTAACCTGGTTTACGGCATCCCTAGTGATCAATTCTACTCTTCACAGGTCAGTTGTGGGGTGGGGAAGCAAGAAGGGGGACCTTAATAAAATTCTTACGGCATCCAGAATTTCAAATTTCTTCTTGGCCTGGAGAACGTTGATCTACAATCAAACAAAAATAGGTAAAGCTAAATTTCATGGGGTGCCAACAAATCTGAAATAAACTAGCCGGATCACTATATCTATGATTCTAATGCCAATCTGTAAAAAAATCAGCTCATATTAGATCCCTCTGAATTCAGGTTGTTGATTCCATTTGGAAAATTCATCCAATTGGACAACTGAAGTTGATTTGGAAAACTGAACTGATCTAGGCGTTGGAATCTCTGAACCGGAACTGAACTGGTTCAGGAAAAAGCTGGTTCTGTAAACGCATGGAAGCACCTGAATCTTCCAAACTGATTTGGAGGCATCCAGTAACTTGTTTGGGAAAAATCAATTCAATTAGCAATGCTTTAAGACACAAGATACAAACCTCCCCCCCAAAAGTTGTCCATCCTTTAAGGCTCAGTGGCAGTTTACTTCTAAGTAAAAAGCACTAGAGACAAAGAAGAGCAGGATGTGATTTTTATTGTTCAACTCCACTCTGGCTGCCTTTAAAATGGGAAAGGGAAACCACACTGCTAGAATACAATTCCCCTCAGCCACTGCCAGCATGGCCGGTCTCTGGAACGATGGCAGTTGCAGAGGAACCCTTTTCAGCAGGCTACTGGCTCCCTTGTTGTAGCAAACTAAAATGGACTGTTTCAACCAGGCTTAAAAAAAAATGCTTCCAGGAGCTAAAACAACTCTCCCCTCTTTTGGTCACCAGCAGAGCAGAGCATGCGGTGAGAACCGTTCAGGGTTCCTCGTTTCTTTGCTTCCCAGCGATTCCCCCAGAGCTTGCTTCTGCTCATTCCTACAAATCCACAGGATATGACATCCATATGCTGTCCCAGGATGAGGCAGAAGGTGTTGGCAGATGGCTCTATTTTACAAGGGGGGGAGGGAGGGGGGAGGCCAATGGAGCAGCTTGGATCAATATTAGCCTGGAAGTTGGGGCGGGGCGGTGGGAGAATGAGGAAAAGAAAACTCAATCCAGGAATAGCTTCAGGTACAATAACATATCCAGATCCACATAAGAGGAAGCAGGGTAGTAAATCAGTAATATTAATTCCTGTCTCTTGCTCAATCACGCTTTGGAGGAAAGTTTTCAACCTGGGATCTTCCGCCCACAGAAAGATGGGCCTGTTTTTGAAGCAACACATTTTGCACAACCCAGTGCTCAAGCTAATGCAGAAGCAGGCCAAACGTGGGCACAGGGTATGAGAAACCGAGGGAAACCGCGATGGTCTGGCTTTAAAGAAACGGCTTCACAGTTTTTGCCTGATTCTGGGAACCCTCATAAAAGCTCACCTGCAAGACATAATCCAGGGCTAGATGCCGGAAACATTTCCTGGTGATTGTCAACGTGCCCGTGGCCTCTTCTACTTCGTGCGGCTTGTGCCGCGGGGCTTGGGCGTTCTTGACCAAGGCAATCTCCATGTCTTCTCGAACTTTATCAAACTGTTTTTTGGTCTCCTTGAATTTCCGGACATCCCTGCAGGGCAAAACAGGATGGCGGGCATTAGCTTTCTTGACTTCAGCAGCCCATCCTACACCAAAAGAGACTAGGTTGGTCTACACTGTCATTGCAAAGGTCTGCTTAATACTGGCCCATCTAACAGCGCTGTAGCTACCAGAAGAGCAAGATTTGAACTTTCAAAAATACTAAACATTTTCTAAGCCAAGGGAAAAAAAATACAGTGGGGCATATACTGGCCATATATTTGCCCTGAAAAATGTAAGGGGACTAAGCAGTTTAATGAAACTTGGTGCATAGAAATGGTAGGGTGGGGAGAGAGAAAATCCTTAAGTTTAAACCAGCCATCTTTTTAACTTTTTGCAAGAAAGGGAATTTTTGGATTTTCTTTTCTTTTCATGCGGCATCTTCAACACAAGACCTGTACTGATGAACGCAAGGTAGTCAAAGGAGGCATCAACCTGGGCAAAGGAAGGGAAGCTTGCATGAACTAATAATTCAGGTAGTGTTCAGATGCTATCTTTCAACTCAATAATGGGCCATGGTTCTGATTCAGACACAGAATTGTAGGATCATGAAACAGAGGAAGGGATCTTAGAGATAATCTAGTCCAGTGTTTTTCAAACTTGGCCATGCGTGGACTTCACTTCCCAGAATTCCCCAGCCAGCATTGAATCCCAGCCCAATACCCCAACATATTTTAAGTGTGCCATGAACCCTACATTATCAGCGAAAGGTCTTATAATGATTTGCCATGAATTCAGAGCCCTGACCAGCAGAGCCAGATACTCACTCCTTCACAAAGTTGTTCAACTGTTGCCGGACAGACCTCTGAGCTTGGTCAAAAAGGATCTAAAGACAGAGGAAAGAGCAAGCAGAGGGGGAAAATGTACATAAGGCCATTAAAAAGCATAAAACTCTGGATTGTTCCAGCAATGACTTTTAAATGCAGGACTGTTAACATAAGCCATTAACTAAAAACAAAAGAAGTGTTGTGCTGGATCCAGTCCACAGCACTCAGCCATATGTTTTGGAGGAGCCCACAAGTAGGACAATCAGTAACAGCCTCCCATTGTTTTTTCCCCATACAGTTACTTAGAGGTAGACTACTTCTACTCCTGGAAGTTCCAAATCTAGCAGCCATCATTCTGTCTTCCAGAAGAGAATGCCCATACATTAACCGTGCGAAGAAGAGTTGCCTTTTGCCCACCCGAAACTTACGACATCCTGCTTCACTGGATAACTGCTATTTTATTTATATGTCTACTTATAAAAAAGTATAGGCTGCTATTCTGTCTGGAAGGCAGCCAAACCAGCTAATAAACCTACAACCAGCAATTAAAGTTCCATAAAAAGAAAGCAGCAATAGAAACAAAAATCAGTCAAGAAACTGAAGGGGGGGGGGGGGAATTCAGTTGCATTCCCCATTTGTTCCTATAGAGGGCGCCCTCATTCAACGTGCCAGTATCTTTGCTGGCACCAGCATGAAAACTTATGTCTAGCAGCCGTTTCTAATTTACTGAAACCAGTTATGTCTATGTATTATTATTATTATTAATACTTTTATTTCTTTTACTATTCGACCATCGAACCGTTTCTCAATATCTTAACAGGCAACTTCAAAGGCTATTTATCCCATCCCATCTTCTCCTGTTTCTTAAATTATTATAATGTTACTTTTTAAAAAAAGCCTTTATTTTATAAGAAGGTGGCGGTGATTCTCCAGTTCCAAATTCTAACACCCTCCCCCCCAGTCCCTGCATTAGGTTTCCAGCTCCTGTCACTTTTCTGGCAATAGGACAGAAGTGGTATCCCGCTGCCTTGTTCCAAACTGTTTCTCTGGCAGCTTTGGGACTTCATGGTGGCCTCCCATCCAAGAACCAACCAAGTCCTACTCTTTTTGAGGCTGGCTTGGCCACAGAGCCAGTACCCACACCAAGTTGTGACTGTGGAGTTTTTCAGGCAAGGAGGAGAAATGTGCTCTCCCTCACAAATTCTTTGCACTTCTGCAGACTCCAGCATCCCCCTGGGTGCGCACACACTTTCCTCTTCTGTGTCCCAAAGCACTGGCATTCACATCTTACGCACCTGAAGTAACAGAAATGCTTGTTTATCCAAGAAAAGTTTTCCTATGAAATTATTTGAACAAACTGCCAGTAGCCTTAAAACACCCTTTTGCAATCAGACACCCTCCAGGTATGTTGGCCTGCAGCACCCATCATCCCCTGCTGGCAAAGGGGTACACTGGTAATAGCCCATCACTGAAATCCTTTGGCTCCATCAGTGCCTTTGGCTAAGAGGAATAGCCAAAGGGACATACCGAAGCTGGTTCCTGGCTTGAAAATGGTTCTGAGTGGGTTTTAAATGCAAACAGATGCAGACATAAAGGAAGTAGAAAAGACCACCCAGCTTTCCTTCTCTGCACTCTGCCATTTCTGTCCTGGGGACAAGGATGGGGTGAAACATCATACCCAAAGTACGTGCCCAAAGTTTCCCACAGCACCGGGATGCGTAATGCAACTGCAAGATAGTCCCACCAACCATAAGAAGAAAAGCCCATTTTCACTTCTAGGGGTAAAAGTTTCTGGCAGGGTCCTATACCCAGGGCAATGTTTGCTGGGGATTCTCCAGAAGACTCCATTCTGAGACTCAGACTGAGATTAAGCAAACTGAGACTCTACATGCCTGCAGAGAGAAAGAGAGGATCTAGGCCCAGAGTCCAATCCACCTATTGCAACGTCTAGATCCGCAGCTCCCATCAGGGTTGATGAAGACCGCAAGGCCAGCCCCAAGGAGAGCAGCAGATTGAAGATGTTGCAAAAGGGCAGAAAGCTGTTGTTTAATCTGCATGTTATGCACCTTGATTTCAGCAAGTGCCATCAGTTTCAGGCTGCAAAATGGGGGGCAGGGGAGGTTGCCACTGGGCAAAAATCTCCAAAGAATTGGCTCCACACACTAGTTTCCATCCCTGCTCAATCCTTTTTTTCTTACTCAGAATCTGTTTCTTCTGTGTAAGTCCACCTTGGCATTCTTCTCAATCAAGAGGATGACTCTAAATCGTGATGCACCTCCTTTTTTGGGGTTAATGGTCAAGCTTGGAACAAAATCTGATTTAATCTAATTCAAACACAATTTAAAAAAAAATGAGTTGGAAAAGGTATAAAAGTGTCCAACCAGCATGGAATAAATAAGAGGAAAAGGAGAACAATACTAGAGCTCAACAGAGTCAGGAGGCCCAGAAAAAGGACTTCCTTCACAAAACAGATAGTTAACCTGTGGAACTCTCCATCACAGGATGGAAATGATGGTGTCCAATTTCAATGGTTTAAAATAGCAAACAGGATAAAGATGTCCTTTGGTTGAACTGAGTTCTGGGACACAATCAGAGAGGTTTTGGGCAGCGCACAGAAATGGTTTGCAAAAAATTCTGGGATTTTGTGTCCTATTTCCCATCCAGCTTACAGATAAAATTCTCTAATCTTTGGAATGGTCCAGCACAGCTCTTCTATATCTTTTGATGTTAGTGGCCCACCTTCCCAAAGTTGTGGGGGGGGGGGGGGGAGGAACACTTCCCACGGAGGGAGCATACCTTTCACTACTATTGGCTTGAAGAAAAGTCATAGAAACAACAATTTGAAAGATCAGCTTTCAAGCTTTGATACTGAATTGACCAGCAGCCAAGATCATATAGAGATAATTTGCAGAGGGGTGCAATATTTTTTTTTCCAAAAAGAATTTTTACACACACACACACACACACACAATTTAAAAAAGCTTGGCTTCACCTTAAAAAAAAAAAAAGATGATTTTTAACTTCTCAAGTCATTCTTGGCTTCCCAACCAGGCTTGGAGCAGATTGTATAAAATAAAAGTTTCCAGAAAGTCTGTCTCTTCTGCCCACCCAGCTCCCAGCTCCAAAGAAGTCACTGAGATTCCAGGATGTGAGTCACTCAGCGCTGGTCACTTTGGATGGAGATGCTCCTCTAGGATTCAGCTCTTAGCTTCAAGGCCAGCCCAACCATAGAGTCAGCCTAAACCAGTCTTGGGGTGCCAAAATTTCAGGGTGGCATCACATAACATTTTGCCAACAGGGGCAGTGGGGGTGAAAGCGGAACCAATTAACCAGAAAGCCTCATTCCATTAAAAAAAAACCCACTTTATGTTGTAGAAGTAAATTGTTCATCTTCCATGTTTTTTACATTTTTTTTCTGCGTGCGTTCCCCACCCCACCCCGGTTACTGATTTGAGTTTTCAGAAGAACAAGAAGCATAAATTAGCTTCACATAGCATTGTTTCACCGCCTAAGTTGCAAGAGTCGGTGAAGCTACATATGATCCATCTGTGCTAAGTAGATTTTCTTAGCAGCAGTGCAGGAAGAGATGTTTCTGATATCCTTCTCATCAAGCCAGAGTTAAAGTGATCATAGGTCCTAGTTTACAAAGGACTGGCTAGACTAAACCAGCTTTCCCAACCTGGTGTGCTCTCACGCCTGCTCATTGAAACAGAAGTGGGCTGAGAGCAGTAACTCACACAGAGATGCAATGAACTCTCTCTCTTAACAAAAGGGAGCACTCTGCTGCATCTAAAATGGGGGGATCAACCCAGAGAGCACAACAAAACCAATCATCCATCCTCCTCCCTATGGAGTCTTGTTAGAGGTTGCCGAGGGGAAAACATCCAGGCATGGCTGGTAGCCTCCTCTTTGTGCCTGATGGTTTCTCATGGCACAATAATTTTAAAACCACCACTGCATTTTATTTTTTTAGAAAGCAGGATGCATATTTTAATGTTCCTCCCTCAAACAAATATTAAAGCTTACACATACCCCACAGGCAGAAAACCAGCACATCAGTTGCAGCTCTTCTTTCTGACATGCTAATTTTCTACATGCAAGGATTCCTTCAATATTGGAGCCAAGAATTCCCCCCATCCCCACCTGCAGGGACTCTTATCCCTGAGTTGTGTATCCACATTAGTCTTCATTATTCTTCATTTTTCTACATTGAAGGTTTATAGGAAAAAGGGGGGAGCTACAGAGAAGGGGTTGCACAGACAAGAGACTTCGCATCTTTGCAATGCCAACAAAGGGCCCAACGTTATCAGACCGGACTTGCTAAGGTAAGGTACCTTGCTAAGGTATCTCCTTCTTTTCTCTCCATTCCAGCCCATTCCTCATCCCAACATGTGCCAGGAGCAAGAGAACCCTGTTTACAGCTGCAGAACTCCATTTTCACACAAGGGAGGAGCGCACCCCCAGCAAGCCCAAGAAAAACAGAACCACAAGCTATTCAAATTAAGCGTTTCAAGGCCGAGTCGACCTACAGACCTCTTAAGAGCATCAGCCCCTCGTGGACTCATTCTGCTCTCAGGAACTAGCGATAGGGTGGTGAAGAATTGTGCCGAAGACAACCATATTCTTTCACGGCAACATTTCCCTGCAACTTTCACCCCAACTTTCCCTGCAACATTTCAAGGGCGCAAAGCGAGAGGGAAAGAGGCTTTGACAATTAGAACCTGCAGGCAGCAAAGTCCACGTTCAACGCGGATAGTTACAAGGAGCCTTACAAGAGAGGCTGCAGCACCAGGATCCCCAAAGAGGGACACCTGACCTCCATTCTGTCGTTCTTTTGCATGGCTGTCTTTAGCCTGAGGCAGAGGGAGGCAGTAGCCTCAGGGAGCCACCACCAAGGGTCGGAGCAAAGGAAAAGAAAAACCCTGGTTTGCCTTGCATTCATCCACGCACCCACAAACACCCTGCGGGTGCTGATTCCCCACCATCATCACCACATTCTGCCTTTGAACATCCGCTGTTGCCATGACAGATGTTCAGAACTCCTCGGGGAAGAATCTTCAAGTTTATTTTCCCCGCTGCAGAGGAAACGGACAACAACGGCCAAACAGGCCTGCAGAAATTAAAGTCCTGATTACTCTGCTTTTCGTTCACCTCTGGAGTCCAATTGAGAAGAAAGCCTCTTAGCCCTTTTCCCTCAGACACGGATTTTATGCCCTCCCTCCCTCCCTCCCCCCGCCCAGCCTTTGCCTGCCCCCAGACAGTCTCCAGGGACTGATTTCAATCCATCAAAGCAAGGATGAGAAATGCAAGGCTCCTCCCTGCTCAGACCTACCAACCCCTGGGAGCAAAACCTTTTCCTTTTTCCCTCCCAGGACCACTGTAATCCTTCTGCATCGTCCACTCCCTGTCTGGAGTTCGGCTGCAAACAAGAGTTTTGGCCAGCTTGAGGCTAAGTCAGCAGCTTCTATGCAACCATCACCAAGCCCTGCCCTGATCAGCTGATGGGTGAGTTACACAAAAGTACTTTGAGGTTCAAAATGCAATACACACATGCGATTTTATTTGGGGGCTGAGTTTCCAAGGAAGGTGTGATTCCCTCCCTTTCCTAAGAACTTAAAAAGAGATATATCAGGCAATCAGGGGATTACATCAAGAGGGAGGGGTCTCCTGATATCACACAGCTGCTAACTTATAAATAGAAATATCTAATTTCTAGAGAAGGATAGAGAAAGTGGATGGACTCAATTAGGTGGAAGGACCCGATTCTCCTGGAGAAAACCTATCTATGTGGTGGCTAAGAGTCGTCACTGGCTTCATGACACATAATAATTCAATTAGAGAAGGATATGGAAAAGTACTGAAAGGGTATGAAAAAGGATCAAGAAAATGTGGGCAAATCTTCAAACAAGGGAATATAATGTGGGAACATAATATGGGAATATTTCAATAGGTTGTGAAAGGTTAATTAATTTACTAATTAAAATCTGGGAAACAAACAGAAGGGGAAAAAAATATCCCAAGTGTTCCACCTGTTATTTTCCTTTTTATCTGGGCATGAAGAGAGATGGAAAAAGAAGTGTGGCTACATAGTATATAGAACTGACTGGAGTGCATAGAAAAACAGCAGAATTTTATTATCATCATCATTTGGGGAGAGGATTTCTTTCCATTTCTCCACTGAATAGTTTTTACAGTACTAGATTTTGTACCCCCAAAGATTACACCCTCCTTCCCTCATCCTTTTCTCACTATACTTAGAATTCGGGTTTAGTGATTTCAAAGATTTGAAAAGGATTCAGCACAGGCTACAGCTAAAAAAATTAGTCTATCTTCTGGCCATATCAATTTCAGGGGGGTGGGGGTCCTTTAAAAAAAGCTGCAGAAAAACGTATAAACACTGAACTCACTGCCACCCAAGCTAATGAACTCCAAGACTCAAGATGGCTTTTAGAATGTATGAGATCCAGTTTCCCACATGATGCTCACTGTGAAAAATTCAGCTAGAGACAATGTTGGATATGTAAGGTGCTGGAGACAAAGATCAACGGGATCTCTTATTGCACACCACTTTCCCAAATTACCTCCCTGACCACTGCTGGCTAGACAGATGTTGGCCTACATCAATCTCCTCATGTTCTGGAACTCCTCATTCAGATGTGGTTTTGTGACTTCAAGAATGCCCATTGAACTTGTATGCGCAGAAAGAAACTCGGGAAAGGACGCAACTCACCATATGATAGTTGACCATTTCCTGCAAGCTGTCTCCAAATTTGTCCAAGCATTCCTGCAGAAGGAAGAGAAGCACGGCTGGGCTTAGTTCAATGCATCAGATGTCTGACCAAAAAAGATCAGTTATTTGCATGGGAGCATCCTACATCTCTTGTAGGACTGACTGATTGTAACCCACTGGTTCTTCATTTCTAGTTTACACTCTTCTAATGTATGAAACAAGTATGTCTCCTCTGGCAACCAGAATGGGAGCATAAGCCATTTTCTGGGGAGAAGGTTTTTCATAGGGAATTTGCATCATGCAGAGAAGGACAGGACTGAACCGATCCCCAACCATTCACTTCATGGACAAAAACAAATTAATCTGGTTCAATGCTGAGAGAGGCCATAGTCTGCTTTTAAGGCTGTCAGATGCATGATCGCCTGCTTCTGCTATCTGACACACTTGGTTCACTCTACCAAACAGTAGACCTATCTCTGCTGGAATGCTTGTTCTGCACAGAGCAAGGAGTGCTGCGTTTTCCAAATCACATAAAGCTGCAATGCCCAAATGAAAATTAGCATCTTTTGGGTTGCGGTCCTAAAGCGATCGCTGTTGTCCCCATTCAGTACATCCCCTCCCCGTGCCTGTCTCCCCTCTCCCAAATAATGGATGCTCAATGACCTAGTTCAGAGCCGCTGGCTGGCAGCTTTGCATTCTGGCTTTTTAGAAAACAACACAATTCCTTAAGACATCCAGTGCCTCAGATATTTTTAGCTACGTGAAGAATCTGTGCATATGCGTGTGTGTGTGGGTTGTGAGTTGTGAGTTACAAAAGCCAAACGTTTCATTTCTATTTATTCTTTGCACCCAAAATGCAGGAAACTAGAAATTTTAGTGGGATTCTTCCCCTCCCCCCTCCTTTTTTTTGTTTGCAATTTCCAGGTCTGATTTGGTGTCTTTGTTTAGAAAATTTTAACATTCATTAGAAACATAAGCTTCAAGATGCATATTAAGTCACTATTAGCCTACTAATAACACGAATAATATTTCCATCTTGGCCAGTGGGGAAGTGTTCAAGTAATTCCAAATATGATCCAAACTTCAAATCTGTTCCTCAGATATAAAATCATATGCTGTTTTCACATGATACATTTAACCCAGCAGGTGCATTCACCCAACACCCTAACCTTGGTTAGTGCTAACCTGAGTTAGTCTTTAGTAGCTTAGCACATTGTGAAAATCCATTTGTTTGGTTTCCTGCACTGTGCAGACACAGAAAATGGGTAAATTCAGTTAAGTGGGTGCAGCCATACTGTTGAAAGTGGCCTCAAAAGTCAAACTGTTGAACCCTCCTGCAATAAATCGATTACCTCTGCTTCTAAGCAATTTGTCCTGCAATCAAAGAAAATCTGAGGATTTTCTTCCAAATATTTAATTAAATTATCTGTTTTTTGGCATTTGAACCTAGTGGTATTGGTTCTCTGCTCTGGAGAAAAAGATAATAAAATTATTCCATCCTCTTTCAGACAGTTGAAACACCTTCAGGAAAATATCTTCATTCTATGGCTGTCTCAAAATCCATCTTCCACTTGTTGTGTTGGGCCTCTTTTTCTGTCTCTCTGTTCCCCATTTAAAACAAAAACCAAAAATCCAAATCTTGCAAGATCAGCAACTCTTAGGAGATTTGAAGTCCCTTAACTCCTCTGATTTCATATGAGAAGAATGAAATCATAACCCCATAGATTCTGGGTATTTTTGTGAATAATTTTGGCCAAGGTTTCTTAAAAAAGAAACTTAAAAAAACAAAACATGTAATATGTGTGTGTGTGTGTACTTGATAAAAATCAGATGCCCTGTCACTTCTAAGCACAGTATTGCCAAATTCAAAAGCTGCCTCTGAATGAGATAGAAAAACCAAAGTCTCAATGGGGACTGGGAGGACAGAAATTGTAGAGCAGTTTTTTTCAAACTTGGCAACGTTAAGTTGTGTGGACTTCAACTTCCAGAATGCCGGCTGGGGAATTCTGGAAGTTGAAATCCACGCATCTTAAAATTGCCAAGTTTGAAAAACACTGTTGTAGAGTAATAGTCTTGTGAGAAATACAACCCATAATCAAATCTGCAGTGACAAGTCGGCACTTATTAAAGCTGAGCTTGATTGATGTTTTGTACACATCTGCACTGAAGATGTTACCTAGCCGGGTAACGAAACGTTTACAAGAACACAACCAAGCTCAGAGAACCCCAAGGACTCCACAGTTCAACACTGAGCTACACATATTCGCTTCTATTGGCTTTGTTCACACTCAGAATTTCCAAGTTCTCATTCTGGAGGCAACCCCATACCACATCCCACTTACCGAGATCATTTCATCCTTCTTGCACTGCTGGGAGAGATCTCGGACCCCACCGACAAACTGTTTGTTGGTGATGATGTACGCTTTCCCGGCATCTACCATATTGCTGCATAGCTTTACCAGCTGAGAAGGAAAGAAGGGGCGCGTAAACATAAGAACCTGTTTGCTTGACCTCAAAACTGAACTGAATTCAAAGGCCGTTCACAGCAAAGTCTGTTCCTGGTTGTCCTTTCACTAGCCTTATTTAGGAGATAGCAAACTAGCCAGCCATCTGCTGATCTAAGATTACAATAACCCATTGAAATATACATAATTCTTATTGGGCATCTATATACAGATACCAGAGTTTATAAGCCAGAGGTCACTTTTTGATATTATATCACTGATATATGTAGTTACTTTTTCCTACTTCTTCCCTGGTTAATTACAGATAAAATATCTTCTCACCACCTTCCTTTTCCATCTGGGAACTAACCATTTGGAAACAAGACAGAAATGGACAGAGCTGATTTTGGGTCTTTTCTGTCGTTGACCAGAACATCTGGAAGTAAGCCTGCAATGGCTGGTGCCAATTGATCAGTGTCAGTTTCCTCAACCCAAACAGCATTGTGACAGCTGAAACAAAGTGTTGGAGTCAATTCCCAGTTTTGTTCTAGCCTCCCTGGAAGAAAGCCTTCTTCAGGCATTATGAAGGGATGAAGAGTTTCCGAGTGGACAAAGATCAAAAGGGGATCTTTTCAGCCCCTTACTTCAGCCCATTTAGCACACTTTCTTGCTCTTTCTTCCTTACCTCTTCATTCCATGTCCCATTTCCACACCATTTTCCTCCATGTTTTTTTTTTCCTGCATGCCTGTCTCCCAACCACTTGGTGTTGCTACGCAATTTTGGGGTTTGGGATTGAATCCATCGCCCTTTGGTTCCCACATCAGACAGAAAGAGCAAATTTGGTAAGCATTCAGTGGAATGGGAACGGAACTTCTTCATTGCCCACCCAATGCATACCATGGACTGGCAATTTAGTGCACTCCAGATGTTTGAACCATAACTCCCAGAATCCCTTGCTGTGGTGGAGCTAAAGGAAGTTGAATTCTAAACCTCTAGTGACTGCTAACACCTCCCCCAGAGAATGAGGGAAGTGGCAAATTATGCCAGAAATCATATTGAGTTCTGTCCTATGTTTTGGGGAGAGGCAAATCTGGATCCCACCACAGAGAAAGGACCCAGCGCTTGGAATGTGAAAAAAAGTTTGATATTAGGCAAAAGGACTTGCAAAGGCCAGACAAGAAATAAAATCTGAGTACAGACCCCTGCTCTCTCTGTTCCCAACATCTGCCAAGGCAAGCCTAGGTTGCTGGCAACCTTCTTTGCACTGTTGCATCTGATTCCAGGGAACAAAAGCAAACAGATGCAGCTCCCGGTCACATCTGGCGGCCAGATGGGCAGTAGGGAGGCTCCCGAGTGAGCCTCTGTAGAAGCAAAGCAAGCTTGTTCTTGCAACGTGGCAGTTTCTGCAATGCGGTTTTGTTTTCACCGAAAGCTAAGCAAGCTTACATTATTTGCAACAAGAGCTCTTGTGGGGTGGGGGGGGGAGAGCCCTGAAATGCAATTAGACACTCACACTAATTGTGGGACATCCATCTCCCACAACCAAAAAGGAGGAGCTGAGGCCTGGCAGAGGTGTGCTATTTGGAAGAAGCCCATGTGCCAGCTACCACATACACAATTAGCATTTTAGCAAATAAGTGTTTCCTGATTGACCACACCCATCTATTATTATTAATTAAAATTGCATGCCACCCAATTCTCAGCCTCCTGGCTTCCACGTGATTCCAACCCCTGGTTGTTCCTGCTGGCCAGGGCTCATGGGTTCTTGAGATCCTTTCCTTTCTTACCTTGTCAAGCTTGACTTCTATTTCCACAACATCTGTTTCTACCTCATCTATGGTCGCCCTGCAAAAAGAAAGATGGAGAATGAAACACCAGCTTGTGGTCCCACACAGAAGCATCAACTTACTGAGCTAGGAGTAACTGAAACTATAGCAGCAGAAGGGCACTGGTGCAGAGGAAGAGGAGCACTCTTTGGGCTGAAGTCTATGTTACATTAATGCTTGAAGAACCACTTGACAGCTACTGTTAAACTAGCAACTTCACTTTCATCTCATTGCTTTTACCTGTTTAACTTCTGAACCATTTCCAAATTGACCCTAGGGTTCATTTTGTAAATCAGGCCTATGGGGAGGGGTTTTAGGGGTCATCTAGCCCAACCCTCTGATGCCAAATGCAGAACGCAGGATGCAAACCCCACATCTCTCCTTTAGTCCTTCAATCTCTGTTTCCATGCATCCGATGAAGGAAAAGTAAACATGCACAATTTGCTGTGGGGTAGACAGCAATGTAGATATGCACCCAGCCCCGTGCTCAACCCGCAGGACTTCCACAAGTAATGCAAACTGGCATCTCTCTGAAAGTTTGAGAATATTTAGCCTCAGAGAACAGCTGTTCAGAATTCCACCCAACCATTGCCCTCTTCTCCCAACTTGCCACCTTTTCCTGACCACCAAAATAACATCTTCCTCACCAGCTTTTTCCCATCTTCCAAATATACTGACCTACATTTCCCATCTAATCAGCCAACCTCAGTTTTACTTCCTCTAAACTGAATTTGGACTGAAGACAACCAAGGTCCATGACAACTGATCAGGAAAGTTCTTTGCCGTAGGCTGTTGGGAATGCCAGTGTCTTTTATCTGGATCCCAAGGACAGTGATGACAAGAATTAGCTCAGTTCCCATACAAAGCAATACATTCCACTGATCCAGGCTGCCCTGTGGGGAAGACTCTCCTCTCTACACATACCATCTCTTGTTGGTTAAAGGCCTACCCCCATACTACTATCCTAACACTGTAGGCTTGGGGCTGGTCCATAATACTCTGTTATCAGATTCAGATATGAACGGATTAGGAGTTGACATGCTGGGACTGCCTCTGTCACCAACACAATTATTAATCTACTTGCAGTGCGTCCCAAATAGCATATCCTGTTTTGAACAGAGTTTTGTTTTCCAAGGAAGGAAGGAAGGAGGAAGGAAGGAAGGAAGGAAGGAAGGAAGGAAGGAAGGAAGGAAACCAGACCAACTCCTTTTCCACATTCCCTCCCACTTTTTGTCTGAAGTGATCGTTCCACACTGTCTAACAGTGGAGCCGACCTTCAGCTTAGCCAAGGCTCAGAAGAAGAGTTTTACAGTGTGTTGTTGAGGTCTGTTTTTCCTCTGTTTGGAAGGCATTGCTTTAAAGAAATATAGTCCAGGATTATTTCTAGCACAGGTCAGCAGGCCACCCCCCAGAACTATACACATACATCCAGGCACTCCAGAGGAAAATATATTATTAAAGCAAGACCTGGGACTTAGAATTGATTCGACTCTGGAAGTATGGGTGAGTCAAAAAAGGAGAAAAGGTTTCTTCTGGAGCTCATTCTGGTGGTAGAACCAGACAATGGATCCTTTAAACTGTCTCCTGGAAGTGCAGCAAACCATGTGGCCAACTTGTCCACCCACCCACCCACCCACCAAACAGCCTGGCCAAATCCCATGGGTTAGCAGCTCCTAATTTTGTGGTTTGCAATGCAGAAGAGAAGTGGGAGAAAAGCCTGTGAAATGTCTTGGCTTGTCCTCTTCAAGTATTCTGACATCACCCCCACCCCTTGTTTCCACTCTGCTGAAGGGGTAGTTCCTTCTCTATCCCTCAAAGGGAAACAAACATACACACGCGTGCGCGCACACACACCTCAGCCAACCAAGTGGAGAAGGAAAGAAGTCCCTGGTTTGTACCAAACTTGTTTTTCTTCATTTATTCACTCCCACAGGAATTTAAACGGAAATACTATCTGTTGTAATAGAATAGGGAGGACTGTGAGTGGATAGTCACCTCTGTGGATGGGTCTCTTGAAGTCCCCTGCTTGCTTTCTTAGAACTCTATAATTCTGGAACAGAGGGAGATGCTTTATACCAAGCCAAATCATTCGTCCATTTTTCAAACTGGAGTTTTTCCAACTCTATCTGAAAATTTCACAGGCAAGCTAAGGAATCTCTTGGGCTGCGTGGTTCAAGTACAGGATGCATCAAAACAGAAGACAACCTCCTGTGGTAGTAAGATATGTGGCCACCTTTCTTTATTTCCTGGCTCATCTGTGGTGGGTCCAGAACTTTCATTCATCCAACAGAGGATGGTTGGACAGGCGTAAACTAGAATTCAGCGACTCTCAGCTGTTTGATGTTCTCATGCTTGGAAGGTGAAACTCCATAGGTAATGATCTGTAACAAGGCTGTTTTCTAAACCCAGTAAGAGGAAAGAGAAATTTAGCTGGAAGCTAGGAGCATAAACTTCTCACTGGATTAGGCAATTGTACCATCTTGAGAATCATTCTGTGTCTGTCTATCCTGTTTGGGTATCATTTCTGCTGGTGTTCTCCACCTGAGTTCAGTTTTAGAAGAATTAACCCCATCTCTCCCTCTCTCATACAACACACACACACACACACACACAACCAGAAAGATTTCTCAAAAGGTACCACCCCACCCCCCAATGAACCCCAAAGCATTTATTATACCTTGTACAGAAGAATGCATTTCCCATCTGATACAGCTAAAACGCTTCCAGCATTGGATCCTTGTTTGCAATCCAAGTGAGCCAGGTGCCTAAAAGAACTGTCTGGTTTCCCACAATAAGGGAGAAACGGGCAGAAGCAAACGGGAAGGACCTGGTCTTTAGGAGAAGAATTCAGTCCTGAATTGGTACACTGAACTCTACAATCAATAGACATGACAACTGCCCAGGGGCAGGAGAACTCCGTCTGGAAGCTCTCGTGAAGGTGAGTCAGAGAGAGTAATGGCACGCACTTCATGATCACAGCATCAGCGGTAAGATAGAGACACGTGAATTTGCATGACCCTATCCCTCACAAGCTTTGGCATGCTAAAAGATGCCTTTTGCCAGGTCACAGCATACCTCCAAGAGAGTTTAAGCCAAGTATAACAGCAAACAGGAACTCAAGGGTTGGTGAGGAACAGGTTTTGAAGAAACCAGCTGCCATCCCTTTTGAGAATGTTGTCTGACCATGTTATCAGTAAAAAATAGCATGTGAAATTAGCATTCCAGAATCCAGGAACTGGGACCAGCCCTACTGTGAAACAGAGAAACTGCTCTCTTAGCAGATTTGAAGGAGGCAACTGAGGTCATGCCACCTGAGAGTTATGTGAGTAGCACCTGAACACATCTGGAAGTTGACAGTTTGAGGAAGTTTCCACAGTGCTTTGTGGCTCCAACTTCTCTGCCACTGGACCCCATAAACCAAAAGTTGGCAATTCTCTTTATGTGGAATTCTGATGAGACTTCTGGTCGCTTCCCAAAACGTTGACCATGCACCCAGCACCCATCTCAGGTATCTGAAGGCTGTGTCTTCTAACTCAGGAGGCCAAGAGTGGCTTCTCTGAGGCCTGTCAGAAGCCAGCTTGGGTTCTTTTCAAACCCAGATTGCCTTTGGCACCCTGTAACACTTTCAAGCTGGATGCCTGTTATTCCTACGTCAGACATTCTGTCTCTCCCTGACGGCGCAAGGCGTCACCACTCGACTTCTGTGGCCCAGTTGGCAGCAGCCCCTCACTTGAGTCATGACAGTGTGCCAGAATTCCCCTCTGAGCAAAAAAGACCCTCACACCCAGACAACTTGGCTTTCAGACATATAAGCCCAACTCCAACAAAATAAGTATCACAAAAACTGTAAAAACGGAGGAAATGCTTCAAGCTGTTAATCACCATTCTGGATTACATAAGACAGAGGAGAGATCTGGTTTCGTTCAACAACAGTGGACTGGAAAAACCAAAACAGAGCAAGGAGCTATGTGGTCCCAGGGAGGACAGCTGGCCCCTAGCTCTGCTTCCCACAACGCAAACAGAAATATCTGCTAACTTACAAGAGGAATAATGAAGATTTCCGTCTGCTGGACATTTTTAATCCTGGAATAACACTGTACATACTTATATCTCGTGTGCTTCTGAGCGCATGCAGAGAGTCCAGCCTTGGGTCATCTGGAGTTAAGTACCTGAAAAGTGTCCAGGTCAAACGGCATGACTTCTACCATTCTGGAAAAGCATTTTCATCTGCATGCACTTGGGTTCATCTGCCTTTCTTTCTTTCTTTTTTTTTTTAAAAAAAGGAGTCATATTTGAGGAGTCATTCACTATCTGCTGCAGTGAAGAGCCACAAGTCTGGACCACACTTGATCCATCCTTCCTGAAGCTGGCTCCAAAGAGAAGATACATTCTGCAGCTGCCTGCTCCTTTTTTAGCCTCCTTCCCCCCCATATGGTTGGCAAGGCCTTGCCTTTCTGAAATACAGTAATGAACGTGTTTCTCCTGGGCTGATTCCTTCTCGCTATTTTTATTCCCCTGGCCTGGAAGTCACGTGGGCTTTGCATGGACATCTTCTCTCTGTCGGTTTGCCAGTGATGCTTCTGTGAAGCTTATCTCAGCTGCACGTGCTGAAGAGAGAGGTGCAAATGCTTGTAATAGGGAGGCAGGCAGGCAGGCAGGCAGGCAGGCAGGCCGGCAGGCCGGCAGGCCGGCTGGCCTTTTTGGAGGAGGAGGAGGAGGAGGAGAAGAGGAAGAAGAAAACAAAGACAGTGCTGAAATTCTGATACCAGCATTGCATGATGTTCCTGCACTTATTTTACCTGGAAATTTTAACATATTTCAAGCCACCCAAGAGGAACCTAGGTTCTGAAGGACATTAAGTTAAGTTCCCCATTAAATTATTGGGAATTGGAAGGACTGATTTTGGCCCACTGATCTCTCCCCTGCATGGCCTTCACCTAAGTTGGTTGTTCTAAAGTTCTCTCTCCACGCTTCAATGAGTTTGCAGAGCAGAAACACGAGAACAAACCATAGCCAGAT